TCTCCTTACTTGGCAGACATTCACACCTTAGGTTCATCTACCTGTAGAGTTCTCCACACTGAGCAGAGACGACTCAGGCTGGATGTTGTGCTCTGGCTGGTGAGTCACCACTCACACCGCTCTGAAATCACCACGCTGGAAAACTTCCTCTTTGCCAAGGAAAAGTGGTTTGAAATGACCGAACCCACTCCACTCTCTTTAGTAGGAGTCCAAAGTGAACACGCCGGATCTGGAAACTGGGCGAGGAATCAAAACTAAACAGTTTAGAGAAGCTAAATCAGTAGAGCTTTTATCTCATTACCTGGCAGCGGGTTAGGGTTCGGGTAGTAATAGCATTAATAATAATCTTCCCTGTATGGGTTTGACGTGGGATTTCCAACTTTTCTTGTCAGCTGTAATTGAAAACTGGGAATGGACCCATTTGGAAAGACACGTTAGAGATGTCGGTAAGTGGACGACCGTTTGAACACTCGTCACACTGCAGTCCTCTGATGTTTTGTTGCTACGGCACCTAAGGGCTCTGGAACGTCGACTGGAGGGAGGAACAAATAACGTGTCATTCCAGTTTTCTGATGACCTGGCCAAGGGAATAATATCAGCCAAGTCTGCTCCAGTGTTCACTAAGAAATGATTCAGACAATACTTCTACAATATTATTAAATAGTCTGTTCTGGTGTTATAAGTCAGGCTCGTTTCTGGTGAGAGTTACCCCTCCTTTCCACCGGAGCCGTCAGCAGCGCGAGTCGGCCGCGTCTCAGGAGCAGCGTGGCGCGGCTCTTACGCGCCGGTTCTATTTTCTACGCGCGACGCCTCTGAAACGGGTCAAGTTCGACATTTTTGGGGAAGGAAAGACAGGAAATCGGACGCGGAAACGGAGCAAAGCTCCCGAGATTTTCAGAATAAAGAAACGTACTGCCTTCCAGTTGCTTTACTTTTAAAAATAAGTTTTACACAAACATAAAACACAAACCTTTTGGAGCCATGTTGTAGTTTTCTCCTGCTTGTTGTTGTGTTTACTGACGAAGTCACGCGTGATTTTGCTAATGTTGCGTGAGTTCGTGCTCTGTCGGTGACAGCTGCTCCCCTGCTGCTTCGCGTCTGGTGGGAAGGGCCAAGCAGCAGCTTAAGCGAGCAAGACGTGCTGCTGACGGCTCCGGTGGAAAGGAGGGGTCAGGGTTTGTCACCGATTCTCTTCATAACCTTTATGGACAGCATTTCTAGGCGCAGCCAAGGTGTTGAGAGGGGAACCGTTTTGGTGGCCTGAGGATCAGGTCTCTGCTGTTTGCAGATGATGTGGTCCTGTTGGCTTCATCAGAACGTGATCTTCAGCTTTCGCTGGAGCGGTTCGCAGCCGAGTGTGAAGCAGCTGGGAGGAGAATCAGCTCCTCTAAATCTGAGACCATGGTCTTGATTCAGAAAAGGGTAGAATACCTTCTCCGGGTCAGGGATGAGGTCCTGCCACAAGTGGAGGAGTTTAAGTATCTCGGGGTCTTGTTCACTAGTGAGGGAAAACTGGAGCGTGAGATCGATAGGTGGATTGGTGCTGCATCTGCAGTGATGCGGGCGTTGTACCGGTCTGTCGTGGTGAAGAGAGAGCTGAGTCAGAAGGCGAAGCTCTCGATTTACCGGTGGATCTACGTTCCTACCCTCATCTATGGTCATGAGCTTTGGGTAGTGACCGAAAGAACGAGATCGTGGATACAAGCGGCTGGAATGAGTTTTCTCCGAAGAGTGGCTGGGCTCTCCTTTAGAGATAGGGTGAGAAGCTCGGTCATCCGGGAGGGGCTCGGAGTAGACTCGCTGCTCCTCCTCATCGAGAGGAGCCAGTTGAGGTGGCTCGGGCATCTGGTCAGGATGCCTCCTGGACGCCTCCCTGGTGAGGTTTTCCATGCACGTCCAACCGGGAGGAGACCTAAAGGTAGACCCAGGACACGGTGGAGGGACTATGTCTCTCACCTGGCCAGGGAACGCCTTGGGATTCCCCCGGAGGAGCTGGCCCAAGTGGCTGGGAGAGGGAAGTCTGGGCCTCTCGCCTTAGGCTGCTGCCCCCGTGACCCGACTCTGGATAAGCGGATGAAAATATTCCGAAAATTGAAATAGTTGCAAAGATTTTGTAAATGAAATTTGCTTCATTTATAAAGCGACCTCATTAGATGTTAGAAACATGATATAGTGTTTATCAGCACGATTCCTTTTCAGGTGTTTTAACAAGAAATTTGAACAAATCTGAATTTCACCCCTAAATTTCATTATCTGAAAGAATCTTTTTACCTTTTTTAACAAATCAAATAATACAAAATGAAACAGTTATTTTTTATAATCATGTCCAGGGGTCTCATTTACCAAACATGGCGTAGAAACCTTACTAAACCGTACTGAAGCTCAGCAACAAATGTACTCACGCCAAGCAGGTGTGTGATCTATCAAACATGGAGGACGCACAGCTGCACGCAATCTCCGCTTCATAAATCAGAGACTAACCAGAATGTTTCTCAGCTGCATTTTAGTCACATCCCGCCCTCACCACGCCCACTTACTGCCATAAATAGTCAATGCAAAGTGCCTTGTGGATCTCATGCATGTACATAAGCCGGCTGTTGCAGCGCTCCGCCAATGACATGGCGACCGTAGATCAAGGCAGATCAAGGAAGCGCTATTACACAAGCAGAAGTTGAGGTACCTGTGGGTGAGGTGGAGAAATGAAAGGAAGTGCTTTTGCAAAACAAATAAGAGAAAATCCACGGAGTGGCACAGCGTTGCTGAAGCCGTCAATGTTGGGAGTTCTTCAGAGAGATCTGTGGCGGATGTAAAAAAAATGGTCCAATCGGGATTCGATCCCCAGACTCCCGGGTGAAAGTCACGCACGCTAACCAGTCACCCAAACGGAGACCTCCCTTGACCAAGTAGCCAGGGTGCATGATCAATCAGGTCACAGTGACAGGACACACACTGTCACACAGACGCATGATGTTCTGTCTCAATCTGTCCCCCTGCTGATATTCTGGCTTCAGGTTGTGTGTGTGTGTGTGTGCATGCGTGTGTGGGAGGGGGGGGAGGGGTCTTGTTCTGAGTGAAAACGAAGCGGTACAGGTGATAATGCTGCAGGATTTCATAATTGTACCTACTCAGCAGCAGCACTGCAGGTGCTCTCCGTGTCCAGCATGTGTGGAAGCCAGGTCCTTAGTCAACTTAAAGTTGTTCACATTTTTCTGCTAAGTTTTCTTTCATAAATCCCAAAGTTTGTGTGGAAAGTTGCTTACGCAGTTTTCCAACCCCATTTTGTGCGTAAGCAAGCTTGATGAATGAGGCCCTTGAGCATTAACCTTTGACCTTTGCTCTTAGGGGGGTCATTTACATAATTATATGAAAAAGCACATAAGTCTTCAGACGGCTGTAACTGGTTTCTGGTCATGTGGGCAGATATTTTACTTATTCTGTCACGAGACGTTGCCTTCTATGACGTGGGTGGTTTATCCAGTAGAAATGCCGTTAACACTGCCATCAGCGCGGGCTTCGGGGGACGCAGAGACCTGGCCCGCGGGCCGCTGCTCTAGCTTAACGTTTAAATAACAATAATTGGGTAAAAATATCTAGAGTTACCAAGTGGATCAGGTGATGTAGCCCCACCCACTCTGAATCTACTTGGGGCAGCAGCAGCTCAACAGGTTGAGCGGGTTGTCCAGTAATCGGAAGGTTGCAGGTTCGATCCCAGCTCCGGACAGAGAATTCTGCTGTTGTGTCCTTGGGCAAGACACTTAACCCACCTCGCCTGCTGGTGGTGGTCGGAGGGACCGGTGGCGCCTGTGCTCGGCGGCCTCGCCTCTGTCAGCACGCCTCAGGGCAGCCACCAGTGTGTGAATGTGTGTGTGAATGGGTGAATGATACACTGTAGTGTAAAGCGCTTTGGAGTCCTCCAACTCTGAAGGGTGCTATACAAGTGCGGGTCATTCATTCATTCGTTCATTCTACTGCTCAGGTGGACGTTACATACTTCAGAGTGGAAATGTCTCACAGGAAGTTGGACTCTGAATGACTGATGTGGTGTTTTAATACTTTTGAAGGTTCTGATCAGTCAAAGTTGTCAATATTTTGTTAAATGGCTTGTATTTGTACAGAGCCTCCTAGGGTTCTAACCCCCCAAAGCGCTTCACAACTCACACACACATTCACACCCTGGTGGGGATGAGCTACATCGTAGCCACAGCTGCCCTGGGGCGCGCTGACAGAGGAGAGGCCGCCGCACACACACCACCGGTCCCTCCCACTAGCGATGGGACCAACGGAGCGAGGATTCGAGGCTTCTGTCAGCAGAAAGGGGGCGTGTCCATGAAGCCCCACAAACGAAGCCTCGGTGTGCCTGAGTCACATGACTGGTTTGTTTTCTGTCACTTTCAAAATAAAAGCTTCCGAACCTCACAGTGATATGTGGGTTGTTCTAGTTAGGCCCGTGTGGAGTTGTGATGTGAAAAGATCTCATTGATGGAGGCCATCCACAGTTTCAGGATCACACCGGTCAAGTCTCCCGTTTTGGGCTTGGAATGGTCTTAAGAGCCATAATCTATTTACTGCTTCTTCCCGCCGCCTTCCCGAGTTGTTATTCACTGAAAATGTCTGGTTCATTCACGGGGTTCCCCTCCTCACGGAGGATGTCCAGACAGACCTCGGAATCTCTCCGTCGGTGCTTCTTCCCAGGAACGTCAACACCCCACACCCCCCTCCTCTGATCAGGGGCGTAGGAGGCTGATTCCGGATTTGATGTACATGTTTGCCTGCAGAGACGTCCGCTGACACTCATGTGATTTCATGCATTGTAATGTTACCAAGTACCACCAGGTGGCGCCACAGATCATGTGTTTGAGGCCTCGAATGCGTATCGGCCAGACATATTCAGAGGTATCGGCAGAGTAGGGGAGGCTTCATTTGGCGCACCACTAGCTCCCACCACCATTACTGGTAAACATCATGTTATTTATTTATTTACCTGTTTGTTGTTCCTGCAGGAGGGCCAGCAGCTCATCAAGGAGAAGCCAGAACTCAGCCTGGTGGTCCAGAGGAAGCTGGAGGAGATCAGGGAATGCTGGCAGGACCTGGAGAGCACCACTCAGGCCAAAGCCCAGCAGCTTTTTGAGGCCAACAAGGCAGACCTGCTGGTTCAGAGTTATGAAAGCCTGGACCAGAGACTGGGCCAGCTGGAGGGTCAGCTGGTCTACGTCGACCAGGGACAGGACCTCACCACCGTCAACAAGCAGCTGAAGAAGCTACACGTATGTGGGCTTATTATCTGGTGTTACATCCACACGAGCGTTAGTCGTGTGAAGAGCTGCTGATGTTTCTTCTCTTGTAGGCGCTGTGTGATGTCACACTGCACTCTGGTGACATCATCACACTAACGTGGAACATTCTGTTTGCTCCTGTCTTCAGCACCATCAGACGTATTAAACTCGTCTGGTTGACTTTCACGCTGAAACAGGAAGCTCCATCCCAACATCTGTCACTCCGCTTCCCTAAACCATCATGGTTGTAACTCTTTAACCCATTTAACTTCATGTATTTAAACCGTGTAAGGAGCATCAGGGTTAGTACCTTCATCAGAAACCTACAGGTGTCTGCTGCCCCCTGGTGGAGGAGCTGCAGGTGGTCAGGGCCAGTTTTGTTTCCGAATTACTTCTGTACTGTAACTAATCACATCATAAACAGTTACGTTACTTTAAGTTACTTCACATTTCAGGGTTAAACGTTTTTCCGTCGGTCCTTTTGATGTTGGGATGAAACTCCGTCGGTCTCATGGCTTCATCCTTTCTTCACTCCATCATTTCATTCCCCCCAACATTCCTATTTTTGTGTTTGCTGTTGGTTTCCAAAGGCGGTCATCTTGAACTAGGTTGAATCCAAAGCTTAAAGAGACGGCGATGAAAACATAACCCCAGCCGCTCTGAGCTAACTCCTCCCCCTACTTGAGCTCCTCCTCTCTTGTTCACTTCTGTTCTCTCTCCTCCTCTTCCATCTGGTCAGGCCATGGAAAGCCAGATGGAGGAGTGGTATAAAGAGGTGGGGCAGCTCCAGGTGCAGGCAGCCTCCATCCCACAGCAGACGCAGGTTAACCAGACGGTTTCAGGGCGACAGGTCGCCGTGGAAACCAGGATGGCTCGTTTGATCGAGCCGCTGAAAGAGAGACGACGGATTCTCCTTGCATCCAAAGAGGTTCATCAGGTTGGGCGAGATCTGGAGGATGAGATTGTGAGTTGGAAAGGCGCGCGCGCACACACACACACACACATACACGCGCGCACACACACACATATACATACACACACACACACACACACACCTATACACACACCTACACACACCTACACACACACACCCCTACACACA